ACGGAAAATATTAAAATATTAAGAAAAATAACAAAGAAACGAATAAATTTGTTGAATCCAAATTGTCCCAATTAAAATAATTATTACCAATTAGAAATATTATTAATTCAAGCGTCTAAGGATTTCAGGTTTCAATGGCTTTAAACCCGAAGATTTCAATCTTCTGGGTTGTAGTGCCGTGCAGTCTAGCAGATATTTACCAACATATCCAACATCGGCCTGCGAGTCTACATGGCTTCACAACATAACATCGCCAAAGTAAATATTGTAATGATTTTTAATTCTTAAGAAATATTAGTAACGCCCTTATGGCAAGTTTGAACCCATAATTCATTTTAAGTTACTATCACATAGCCTACAAATGCCTGTGTTCAATGTGACGCAATCATATGTAATAACTGTAATAGTATAATAATGCAACAATTCAATAAATATAATAATAATAAAACTTCAGAAAATTTTCATTTTAGGATTTTCATACATCATTCGAAAGACGATGCCGTAAAATATGTAGTCATCTGTAACAATAAAACTATATAATACATGTAAAATGTATTAAAAACAAAATGTATTTCGGAAATACCTGCTGCACTCTGTACCTCATGGGCAAAGTTTGTCTCGGGTACATGGAAGTAAGGCCAATAACAGCCAAGCACTAAATCAGAGTACAGGATAAAATATAATAAATAATTAAATTCATTTCAATAATAATAAAAGTAAAACATTACAAATACAAAAACAAACAAACAAACAAATGAAATTAAATACATAAATGTACCATATTGAATAATATTTCACAAGTAAATGGGCTAAATACGATACCTAAGTAATATAATTCAATTCAATAATTATAAATAAAAATATTAAACAATAAAAAACAGAATAATAATAATAATTCAATTCATTTATTGAATAATATTTCACAAGTAAATGGGCTAAATACGATACCTAAGTAATATAATTAAATTCAATAATTCTAAATAAAAATATTAAACAATAAAAAACAGAAGAACTTGCAAAATTAAATACCACAAATAATAGTTCAATTTAATTTATTTATAATAATAATAATATAAGTTTTTGGCTGTTTGTGGACCAACCAAACAAATGATTCATAATAATTTGTTATAATTCAAAATACCCTCTTCGGTGCAGATCTTTAATGCTCGAAAACGATTTTCAGTGACACTACGTAGATGATACATGAAATAACAGTCTCAAAATTAAGCTTGAAAAAAATATAAATAGTGGTCAGTCGTTATCAACCACGGCCTTAATAGCTGAAAATTCAATCATTTAAGTGCTAATGTAGGAACCTGGTACATATTACGTCTTCTCTTAAAATGATTATTGTTGTTATAAACTCTGATGTATAGCAACTCGAATGGCAGAACTAACAGAATTGAACATATTTTAATCCTAAGGATAAATAACACTTTTATTTATCGGAATCAAATTGCTTTCACAGCAAAACACAATTTCATAATACACTCCATAACCTTACACTTTCACTAAAATTGTTCAAACATTGATAGAGAGAGAGTTGTATCTAACAGATCAGTATTGAGACGTAATTTTCCTAGGGGCTACCACAAGTCACTGTATACTTTACATTGTCGGTCTGTCTGGTTGGAGATTACATGAGGTCGATATGCCCGAAGACATATACGGAGCCATTAGACCACTTTATTACTTATCAAAAATATTTGGGCTGGCACCGTTCAGTTTTGTCGCTGAAGTTCATCCCGACGGCTTGAGGTCCAACAGACTTAAAACGACTTACATCGACGTATTTTATTCGGTTTTAATTATAGTCATATCACTCACAGCATCTGCGACTGTTCTCAGTTGGAGGATACAGAATTCCTATGCGACCGACAAGCATATGACGATAATTCTCACAGACGCTAATGTATTTTGTCTGAATTCATCGCTCGCACTCGTGTCTGTTCTGCTGGGAGTTGCATTTAACACGAGACGAATGACGAAATTGGTAAATGAAATTTCTCGAATAGACAAAATATTACTGACGAGACCCAGAGACGTATATAAGAAGACATATATTTTTGGGGTGTTACAAGTGGCATATCTGTTTTGTACCTACGTTCTGTTCTACTATTATCACAGCTGGGTTTGGGTCGGAGAACTCAGCAGTAAGAATTTTAAACACCTGCCAATTTCATACTTTATTCGTTCTGTTATCTACGTAATGGAGACACAGTATATAAATTTAATTATCTTATTCAGACATCGATTCAGGGAGATAAACACTTACCTGAAACAAATTTACGATAATGACAAAGGCGATCTGGTCCATAAAATTGAACTGATATACTTTCATAATTCCTGTGCATTAAATGAGGTTTCAGGGCCCAGTATATTGTCTCAGAGTGCGTATGTACCGATTACTACAAGAAGATCTAACCACTCCAGATCATTCGAAACGAAAATTTCGATTGGCAGATATTCAACGTCTCAACATCAGCTGTTGCTAATGACTGGAATTCACTACGCGTTGTGTGATATGGCTGATTGCGTCAACTCCATGTATGGACTACAAATCCTTGTAGATTTCACGGTATCTTTCATAACTCTAACAACTTGTATCTATTTCTGTATACGATTTATAATACAAATACATTTGCAGAGTGAAATTTCGGAAAGTGAAGGCATTACAAGAGCAATTGGTATATCTGTAGTGTGGCTGACATTGGTAATTATAAGGCTGGTCGCCATCACAGCATCGTGCAGTGCAACTACAGCTGAAGCAAACTACACTGCCCAAGTGCTACAGAGGATTCTCTTGGAACCAGGTCTCCATCCGCACGCAATGAGAAATGCCCAGTTGTTTCTCCAGCAAGTCACCAACAGACCGCTACATTTCACAGCCTGGGGATTCTTCATAATTAACTACAATTTATTAGGATCGATCATTGCTACTGTAGCCACATATCTGGTGATTCTTTTACAGTTTTAGGCAAGTGGATTCAGATTTTATAAAAAAATACACCCGAAGTATTCGAAACACAAAACTGAAATCACACCGAGTTAAGATGGTGAACTGTAAATCCTCTACGCGAGAGTCAATGGTTCAGATCTCGACCGGGTCACCGACTGTCCTGACTGATATTGATTTAAGATTGCAAGTCTTAAAATTCTTCTCACATAAACGGAAGATATCCGAAAAGGCCTGCTCTCTTTGAATATCCTCGCAGTCAGCAGTCATAAAACCTGACCGCTGGCCCTCTAAATGCCTTTGTAATGACTGATTCTGTACGCCAGAACTGCGTTGGAAATTGTTTGGCGTATAATTGACGTACGTCTACACGAAACTTTAGGAGTTGGCTGTACCCCAGTCTTCACGTGATTCGCTGTCATGATACTAACAGACAATTTTATCACCCCTGATTTTTGTACTATTAGCGAACTTGCAAAATTAAATACCACAAATAATAGTTCAATTTAATTTATTTATAATAATAATAATATAAGTTTTTGGCTGTTTGTGGACCAACCAAACAAATGATTCATAATAATTTGTTATAATTCAAAATACCCTCTTCGGTGCAGATCTTTAATGCTCGAAAACGATTTTCAGTGACACTACGTAGATGATACATGAAATAACAGTCTCAAAATTAAGCTTGAAAAAAATATAAATAGTGGTCAGTCGTTATCAACCACGGCCTTAATAGCTGAAAATTCAATCATTTAAGTGCTAATGTAGGAACCTGGTACATATTACGTCTTCTCTTAAAATGATTATTGTTGTTATAAACTCTGATGTATAGCAACTCGAATGGCAGAACTAACAGAATTGAACATATTTTAATCCTAAGGATAAATAACACTTTTATTTATCGGAATCAAATTGCTTTCACAGCAAAACACAATTTCATAATACACTCCATAACCTTACACTTTCACTAAAATTGTTCAAACATTGATAGAGAGAGAGTTGTATCTAACAGATCAGTATTGAGACGTAATTTTCCTAGGGGCTACCACAAGTCACTGTATACTTTACATTGTCGGTCTGTCTGGTTGGAGATTACATGAGGTCGATATGCCCGAAGACATATACGGAGCCATTAGACCACTTTATTACTTATCAAAAATATTTGGGCTGGCACCGTTCAGTTTTGTCGCTGAAGTTCATCCCGACGGCTTGAGGTCCAACAGACTTAAAACGACTTACATCGACGTATTTTATTCGGTTTTAATTATAGTCATATCACTCACAGCATCTGCGACTGTTCTCAGTTGGAGGATACAGAATTCCTATGCGACCGACAAGCATATGACGATAATTCTCACAGACGCTAATGTATTTTGTCTGAATTCATCGCTCGCACTCGTGTCTGTTCTGCTGGGAGTTGCATTTAACACGAGACGAATGACGAAATTGGTAAATGAAATTTCTCGAATAGACAAAATATTACTGACGAGACCCAGAGACGTATATAAGAAGACATATATTTTTGGGGTGTTACAAGTGGCATATCTGTTTTGTACCTACGTTCTGTTCTACTATTATCACAGCTGGGTTTGGGTCGGAGAACTCAGCAGTAAGAATTTTAAACACCTGCCAATTTCATACTTTATTCGTTCTGTTATCTACGTAATGGAGACACAGTATATAAATTTAATTATCTTATTCAGACATCGATTCAGGGAGATAAACACTTACCTGAAACAAATTTACGATAATGACAAAGGCGATCTGGTCCATAAAATTGAACTGATATACTTTCATAATTCCTGTGCATTAAATGAGGTTTCAGGGCCCAGTATATTGTCTCAGAGTGCGTATGTACCGATTACTACAAGAAGATCTAACCACTCCAGATCATTCGAAACGAAAATTTCGATTGGCAGATATTCAACGTCTCAACATCAGCTGTTGCTAATGACTGGAATTCACTACGCGTTGTGTGATATGGCTGATTGCGTCAACTCCATGTATGGACTACAAATCCTTGTAGATTTCACGGTATCTTTCATAACTCTAACAACTTGTATCTATTTCTGTATACGATTTATAATACAAATACATTTGCAGAGTGAAATTTCGGAAAGTGAAGGCATTACAAGAGCAATTGGTATATCTGTAGTGTGGCTGACATTGGTAATTATAAGGCTGGTCGCCATCACAGCATCGTGCAGTGCAACTACAGCTGAAGCAAACTACACTGCCCAAGTGCTACAGAGGATTCTCTTGGAACCAGGTCTCCATCCGCACGCAATGAGAAATGCCCAGTTGTTTCTCCAGCAAGTCACCAACAGACCGCTACATTTCACAGCCTGGGGATTCTTCATAATTAACTACAATTTATTAGGATCGATCATTGCTACTGTAGCCACATATCTGGTGATTCTTTTACAGTTTTAGGCAAGTGGATTCAGATTTTATAAAAAAATACACCCGAAGTATTCGAAACACAAAACTGAAATCACACCGAGTTAAGATGGTGAACTGTAAATCCTCTACGCGAGAGTCAATGGTTCAGATCTCGACCGGGTCACCGACTGTCCTGACTGATATTGATTTAAGATTGCAAGTCTTAAAATTCTTCTCACATAAACGGAAGATATCCGAAAAGGCCTGCTCTCTTTGAATATCCTCGCAGTCAGCAGTCATAAAACCTGACCGCTGGCCCTCTAAATGCCTTTGTAATGACTGATTCTGTACGCCAGAACTGCGTTGGAAATTGTTTGGCGTATAATTGACGTACGTCTACACGAAACTTTAGGAGTTGGCTGTACCCCAGTCTTCACGTGATTCGCTGTCATGATACTAACAGACAATTTTATCACCCCTGATTTTTGTACTATTAGCGACTGGATTTTAGAATATTCTAGGCCGTGAAAAATAACTTTGCTTACGAGGTTAAAACTTCACGAAACACAGAAGTTGCGTTTAAGAGAAATGTAGAGGAAGCGAGTGATCGCTTGATGCATGAAACGTAGTAACAGTGGACATAGGCCACTTTAATACAAAATATAGAGGTTAAGGTCGCGCAGAAACCGACTGAAGACGGACAGAGACAGATGGGATTAATGAATTTGTGTCACGTGGGAAGACTGCTCGTGAAGAATTAATCAAATGGTATGTTAGTCTCGCAAACAGGTTAAATTATTTGTTAATTTGTAGATTAAAACGCAATTTTACGGAGCGATGCGATGCTAATACACTTAGTATAATGAAGTGTAGAGGAGAATATATTGACTTTTCAATTGTTACGTTGCAGAAGCAATGGTTTTTCAAAATTTGGAACGTGGAATTGTGAAAATGAGAAGGGACATAACAAGAGAACATATTTTAGAAATCGTAAAAGAAAAATCTCTAGTACACCCTACATGGTATCGGTCACAGTTCGTTCAGACGCCAAAGTTTAAAATACGGATTTTATTATTATTATTATTATGTTTGCCAAGTTCTTACTCTGGCACTTACGACCTCCACCTGGAAACATCAAGCATCTGCGAATTAGTACAATGACGTCATTAAATTTATATTAAACGTCGTGATTACTCATTACGAGCTTTCTTGTCATGTACTTCCAATTCCATTACGCACATTAATATTACTGATGCTATTAAAACTAATACATTAATGTTCTCATAGGTACACAGAAAATGCCTCGCCTTCTTAAGACCGAAAGTACACGTCCCTTTATGTTCAATCTTTTATTAGAATTTGTTTCCGCTAACCGGCCACACGTTCACTGGTAAAACGAACATTGAATTGGTGTTGATCACTTATCAGACTCGAGAGCGAAACAGCACGATGCATAAACGCACAGTTCTGACGTTCCTTCCAACAAATAAAGACGTGAAAAAGGCTAAAACGCCTAATATTTACTCCAACATCATTCCAATGTACTACTTGTCAAAGCTTCTAGGACTCGCTCCACTGTCCCTCGTTTGTACTCGTGAAAAAGAGAGGACAGTGTACGTCGGCTTGAAGAATTCTGTGCTTGGAATTTTGTACACTGTGTTTTTGATGATTTCAGTACGTTGGGTACTGGATTTAGTATTTGGACGTCAAGTTTGATAATGATATATATTTTAATTTTCATTGAATTTGTTACCATGGCACAGTTCGTAAACCTTGTTTTCTTATTCAAACAAAAATTTCAAACACTAAACAGGTATATAGCTCGTGGTATAAATTCTCCGGAAAAGGAAGCTAATGATAATCCATGGGAGACATTGCTTCAGAAATCGTGTGTGCAGAATCTGAAAAGTGTGGAGGATCAGACGCTCAGATTGGACGGATTTTATCAGGCATTAACAAGATCACACAATAATTTACATCACTTCTCCTGCGTCTCCAATCAGAACGGCTGGCTCCATAACGAGAGACTGCGTTTTCGTGCTTTGAGAGTAATTTATGACGTACTGTGTGATATGTGCGCGTCAGTGAATTCCATGTACGGGCTTCAGGTACTCCTCTGCATGGTGTTGTCGTTCTTCGAAATAACAACGAATCTGAGTTATGTTATAGTTTCAATAAATGTGAAAGGCCTACAGGTCCTTGATTTCACGACGAAAACACTGTTCTGGGCACTTGTACACTTCTTACTCCTGTTTTGTGTCACTGGATCCTGTAACGCGGCGAGCTGTGAGGCCAACCGTTCAGCCATCTTGCTACAGAAGTTACTCCTAAGAGACCTCCATCCGGCCACAGCGGAAGAGGTTAAATTGTTCTTAATCCAAGCCAGTAATCGAAAAGTGAACTTTACGGCGTGGGATTTCTTCACCATAAATTACACTATTTTGGGATCAATTGTAGGAGGCATTACAACTCTACTTGTAATCTTGGTACCGTTTCAAAATGAACACGGATTTTTTTGATATGTTTAATGGCTATGTTTGGGTTCTTGTGTCGGGTAGTCTGGTAAAACATTACTGACGTTTCGGACGTGCTTGCTGTCTCCACTATCAGGACGATGCGTTTCTCGTAGTTTGCTATTAGTTTTATGATATTTGAAGTTCTCCCGACTGCGCAGATGTCTGTTGTCCCTGAATATGGAGGCAGTATGCTCTTCTAAAACACTGGTGTCTACACGGCGTCCATATTCTGTTCCTATCATCTGTTTCAGGTGTTTTCTATGGACTGTATTTCCGAACGCTGTCCTCACAACCGAGGACCAGAAGTTACATGGACATTTATACCTTCTACAATGTTTTATCTGTGTCTAATTTATTGAGCGTGGCATTAAGTATACATTTTTGTCATTACTATATATGTGCTTGTATAGTGAATATTTTAATAGGGCCTAGTTGTTGTATTGTGAGGAGCATTTCTCGATTTGTATCTTACAGATCAATAAATTTACAAAGTTATCAAGCTTCAATCCATTTAATTTTATTTCATTATGAATTATTATGGTCTTGTATGAACGTCTTACACTTTTTAAAAATTTACAACCATAACTATTTAACCAAAAAATTTGAATTACGCCTACATTGTGCAGAAACATTCTTCTGCTATTACCACTTTAAAATGCACATTAATCTAAGACATCACACAGTCTTTCATTTAAGTAACCACAATAAAAGATCTAACTGTTTCCTTGTCAGCTACAGGTTAACAGGTTCTCTAATTCTAGGAACTTTAATGTTCATTACCGTGTTAACACAAGCCCGCCACAAGACCCTCCTCCAACCTCAAAATAAAATGTCATTATAACGACAAACAATTACCAGACGACAATATAAGAGCCAACTACCGAAACGTCGGGTTCATAAACTATACCACAGACAATAGACAATACCTAAAATTATATTGGCGTAATAAATGGACTATAGACATCAATGTCACAGAGCATTAGTTGATCGTCACTAATCTCTGTTTCTTTAAGTCATATGTCAGAACGATAATTAGTCCACTTTCCTCCTTTTTAGACATTTAGGCTGACATGAGCAATACATTTTCCTAAATATACAACCCATTATGTAACTGATATAACACTCACTAAATACGAAGAAAGTTGTGCCTTGGTAATTACGTTTAATTAGGGTTTGTGATAGTGTACTCAGTTAAGTGTGAAGTTACCAAAAACCATAACACTCTTGTCATTAGTGACAACTCTAAACTTTTCCACAGATGTAAGTCTGAGAGTCACTCAGTTTTGCGAATTCTACAGAGAAACACAGTTCAGTGTGTGGTTACATCGATGACTTGGGTCATATTTCATAAAATATTCACGCTCGTCCAAATAAAAGAATATAAAAATACTTAGAAAATCGCATTCAGATTTATGACTAAAGAATCAACATGATTCCCCATTTTATATAAGACTGTCACGAAATAATATTTTGTTTTGATTATATACGTATCTTACATAAGATGGCATCTTACATAAGTGTTGTAAATACAATTAAAATTTCATAAACTCTGATACACATATTTAAGGCCTACTGATGCAATTATGCGTAAAAATTGAGTTAATCTTCGTATCGGCGTTCTGTTGTTTCACGCAAGGATTTGAGACTGACGTAGACACAAAAGTCAAGATTTTGCTGTCAGTAAAGGAACACACACACTCGTCTTGTGTTTATGTCCTGTACAGTGGTGATAAAGGTAGGTTATTTAATACGTTTCATGACAGCGTAATATAAAACCATTTATGACTAAATGATTTTATTACTAATTTCGGAAGTTGCAACTAGCTTATTTCCATTCAATCAAAATATTGAGTATTTCTTAAATTTCATCTTTTATCTGTCATGTCATCTATCTGTGTATTCATGTATCTAATCTATCTATTCAATTTGTGTATATATATTTTGTAAATTAAGCTAAGTATATATTAAATCTTGTCCGTCTAATCACAATAAAATTCTTATTAAATATTAAAATATTACAATAATTAACATTTAAAATATTTAAAATATCAAATGATGTTCTTTATCGAAATATTCGATTTTTATTGTAATATTTTAATATTTAATAAGAATTTTATTGTGATTAGACGGACAAGATTTAATATATACTTATTATATCACAATATGACGCAACTTTACCATCTCACAAATTAAGCTAAGATAAGCAAAGATTTTAAATATTTTTAATTCAACATTATTTTATTTTGTATTGGAACTCTGCAAAGCAGGAACCGGCTTTATGTTCATTATTATGTTGGTGTCGTGTTATTCCAAGGTATTTCAACTTCATACCGTACAAAGTTTCGATCTTGATTCAGTCTACTAAGTACTCGAAGTGAGTTATGAATAATGGTTTATAGAACGTTCAGAACTCTCATAAAACAGCGAGGTCTGAGTTTCATTTACGGCTCAGAGCTGTCTAGATGAAGGATTCTACACACATTCGAACTGATTCGAACAACGAGAAACTTTTATAGCGTTGACTTTCGGAAATAAGTCGCCTTGAATCTTCAAGGCGGTGACTGCATTGAAAAACCCTCACAATTCGACGCGGCTAATTCCCAAAAACCAGAAATTTCACATTTAGCTTGACGAATTTCATCGTTTGTAATCGGGGAACATCTTGCTTTGTTAGGAATAAAAGAAACTGTCATCTTGCTGTCACTTCTATCAAAAAATGTTATTCCTGCGGCCGGTGTAGCTTTTAGAAGAAAAGAGAACATCTTGGAGACTGACAAGTGTAATGTTCCTCTCTACATTGTTCCTTCTGAGAGCGCAGAAATCATATTCTTCTCGAAACAAGTAAGTTATTCCCTCTTCCTTACTTGATTATTCGGCTATTTGTACCTGCGTAAGAAGAATTAAATGTAATAAATATATATTAAATCTTGTCCGTCTAATCACAATAATTCTTATTAAATATTAAAATATTACAATAATTAACATTTCAACATTTAAAATATTTAAAATATTAAATGATGTTCTTTATCGAAATATTCGATTTACATTAGACCACCATTTTTCATGTTTAATATTTAATAAGAATTTATTGTGATTAGACGGACAAGATTTAATATATACATATTATTCCTTATTAATGTATTTAAAGGCAATTTTTTTTTCAATATTTGATTTTCTTAGTATCTGGATATCTGTTAGGTTAAGTTAGAGACTACTCTACAGTTCTGGTTGTTAGTACGTCAATTAGATGTGTTCTAAAGTATTTGTACGTTGAAACGATTTAGATTAGTAAGCTAAATGCCTATTACTAAGTATTAAAATACATTTTTTTTCAGTCATTGTCATACTTCAGCGAATCCTGAAACTCGGTACTCCCATTTGCCACTTCGTAGAATAGACTATATTGTTACGTTGAACGCACCTCGTATTGCATATTCAAGGAGTTTTTTCTTCAGACTAAATTGTTTAATTTTAACCGTCTAATCAAGTTTAATATATTAGGTAAGTCATATATTATACTGAATAATTTACTATAAGTACACTTAATTAAGTAGGATTTGAGGTTTCGAAGACCGTGAGTCCGAAGATGGCTGTCTTCTGGGTTGTTGTCTGGTAGAAGTTTACCCCACGATGGAGGCACCAAGGACCTCTGAAACGTCGGTAAACTTCTACCAGACAACAACCCAGAAGACATCCATCTTCGGACTCAATTAAGAATAAACTTTACATGAGACATTCACAATAGAAGAATGAAGTGGTTGTTATACGTCATGGAAAGTGGTTACCACGAAGATCAAGGCGTGAATGAGAAATACATCTAGCCATAGTCTGTTCTGTGAACAGTTATCAAACATTTCAAATCCAGAACACACGTGAGTCATGATAGATAATAAAATTGTACGCACCGAAAATAAAAACATTATAAACCGGCTTACGTAGGCGTTGAGCGCATTCACGTTTGGCAGTGAACGAGATCAGATTCGTTACACAATGAGAGGATGATATAAACTTGTTAGAACAGAACTTTGTAACAGAGATGGCGATGAATATTTATGTTCCCGCAATGACAGGACGTTCTCGTTAAGACCAATAACTGGCGACTACTCAAGGAAAACTCTGATCCACGAGACAGTTATCTAGACACTATCTTAAATAATCGATGAATGTAGAGGCTTACTTTATAAGCGAATATAAATGTACGGCATTAAAATATTGGATTAAACTAAATTACGGGACCACAGAAAGAAATTAAAATTACGTATAACAAGAGATTAAAATCAAACTAATTAAATTTGGACAAATTCTTTACACTTTTCAGTTCAGAATATTGTTATTTCAGAGTCTGAATACCGAGACTATGGGTTCGAACCCACTCAAAGAATATGCTTTTCATCTTAGTTATATTATTTTGTGCAGGCTCAGGTCTTGCGGTGGGTTGTTCCTCAGCCCAAGAAATTCTATCAGACTTCCAAATGACTGATAGGTTTAGAAATTAATTGTGAAATGGAAAAGGCCACTGTAAAACCAAGAAGTAGACGTTTATTTTTACTAAATTCCATGCTAGCTGTGTGGGCTATGTGTACAATGAATGATCCGTTAGTTGATTACAAATCCTTGTTATTGAGAGATAATTGTACCATATAATCCCCTATAAAATACCAAGTTTTATAGTACGTGGAATGATAAAATCATATGTTTATTGACAGAATAAAACACAGTCTGGTTTCTTTTCTTTGAACTAAGACCAGACTTTCATACTACAGTCTACATTTAAAATTTCAATATATACATCACACATTTTATTGAGATTAATATTTTCGCTCGACTCATAAAAAAAAGTAAAGTTTGTCCCACTATACGCCATGTAGGCGTTTGGGGTGAGAGGAGGTATAGCTCCTCTCTTCCTTGACCTCGGCACTAGATGGGGGTAAGTGATCAGCATCACGCCCCGGCCGGCTTTACCCCCGGGAAAGGACCCCGGTACCCATTGTAGAGGAGGCTGGGTGGGCCCCAGAGCCGGTCTGGACGCAGAGGCTAGAGGAAAAATCCTCTGCCCCCGTCGGGGATCGAACCCCGGTCGTCCAGCCCGTAGCTAGTCACTATACTGACTGAGCTATCCCGGCTCATTTCGCTCGACTCATATTTAAGTAAATTAAAGTTTAAAAGTCATTTCACAACTAGAAACTTAATGATGTTTGTAACAATTCCATGCTCATTTTAACTCTTTAAATCCCTGCGGTTCATTGCGTTAATTCATTTACGCATATTAACCGTAACGACTTCTCTCTGTTAGTTAGGCGAAACGACAAACACTTCTTACTCCGCGAACTGAAAGCTGTAACGACTTCAACGATTTATCTTTATTTTGATCCTATCTTATTTTCATTTGCAGCTGACCGAGTATAAGGCCCTATCGAAAACAAGATGGTTGCTGTTCCTGGATAAAACAAATTTCAGTATGGAAGACTTGTTCAGTGACATTGACATCTCCTTTGACTGTGAGTTCTTGGTGATTCACAGAGCAGACAGTCGAAATTTTGTCTTCACAGAACTGGGTCGCGTGAGTCCTTCCTTACCGGTGAGGACACACAGCTTCGCCAGCCTGTCGTATCTCGCACGTGGATATATACAGCGCAGGTCAAATCTGCAGGGTCTAGTGCTCAGATCTGCGGTGTTCAGCTCTGTGAGTCCCGACGAGTTCTGAATATGTGAAATGTACACAACGAACATTTTGTAAGACTTGAGGTTCTCACGGCGGTGAGTATGAAGATATCCGTCTTCTGGGTTGTTGCGCTGTGTAGTCTGGTCGATGTTTGTTGATGTCTGTCATCAGGGAGATTCATCGCCCTGATGATGGAGGCAGTATGACCTCTGAAACGTTGGTTAACATCGACCAGACTACACAGCGCAACAACCCAGAAGACGGATATCTTCATACTCACCGCTGTGAAAACCTCAAATCTTACATTCTGTATGATTCTTTGTTTTTTTAGGGATTTTACACAAACTTTAAGAAGAAGTTTAAAGAGGAAGTTACAGAATTAGGTGGATATTTTGGAGAGGTCTGGAGCATTTTGCAGAAAGTACTGAACTTTACGTAAGTATCATTTTTATCTTGCTTCAAGGAAACATCAAACATGATACTACAGTGATGTCTGAATGTTACCCTTTTCGCCGTTCGAAACCATTCAACTAATTTTCACTAAATTTAGTGCAAACGTCATATCACACAAGCAGTTATGACATCGTGGCTGTCGCGCTAAAGTTATTATTTCAGCAGAACGAATGATAACAACGCGTAACAACTCTAAATCTTTCCTCCGGCACCAAAACGCAAAGTTATAAGGCTTCAGTAGTCTGTGTCTGTGTAGTGTGTGTCAGAACACGCTTGCCTTGTTCAAACTCTTCCGACATCGATCCCAGTACCCCCCGCGAGCGGCTTACTCAAGATTAATAGTCCAGAAGTGTAACAAAGAAACTTCTGGGTTATATAGTGACGAAAAACCGTTTGTTTCGTCCTGATAATAAAACAATTATTATAAATCGTACTATTGATCCTTTATGACAGAACTAAATTCTACATACCAGAGAATAACGACTGGGGGTCTGTGACGAAGAATGGCTCATGGAATGGACTCATCGGAATGCTAACGAGAAACGAAGTCGACATCGCAACCACAAACCTCATCGCCACTGCACAGAGATTGGACGTCGTAGATTTCATCAGTCCCATAGCAGACGTTAGGTAAGACACCGGGTGGCAGTTTACTGTACTAATTTTCCTCAATACTGGTTTATTTAACCCATTGCAATCCAGTACTATCTAGACCAGTGGTATTCAACCTGGGGTACGCAAAGACATCTTAAGGGGTACGTGAAATTTAAAAAAAAGAAGTTATTTTATAATAATCACTGAATAATCTGTAATGTAATTTATTTAATTTATTTCAGATGTAGATTATATACTATGTATAACTTGAATTATACACCAACAACTTTGGGGGTACAAAGTTAAAGAGAAATTATATCTGGGGGTACGCGAAGACATCTTAGGGGGTACGTGAAATTTTTTAAAAAATATATTATTCTATGATAAACACTGAATAATCAGTAATGTAATTTATTCAATTTATTTTAGATGTAGATTATATACTATGTATAACTTGAATTATACACCAACAACTTTGGGGGTACAAAGTTAAAGAGAAATTATATCTGGGGGTACGCGAAGACATCTTAGAGGGTACGTGAAATTTTAAAAAAATAATATTATTTTATGATAAACACTGAATAATCAGTAATGTAATTTATTTAATTTATTTTAGATGTAGATTATATACTATGTATAACTTGGATTACATACCAACAACTTTGGGGGTACAAAGTTGAAGAGAAATTATATCTGGGGGTACGCGAACAAAAAAGGTTAAATACCACTGTGCTAGACAAACCTGAAGATAACTAAGTGTCTTCTGGGTTCTGAAAAAAGTTTACCAACATTTCAGAGGTTCTTGCTGCCTCCATCATCAGGGCGATAACTACATAGTGCTACAATCCGGAAGGCAATTATCTTCGTACGCACATCCGTGAAAACCTTAAATCCCATATGAACCTGGTTTAATAACCAACAGTTCGGCATTATGCCTAAAGCGTATTTATAGGCACAGTGTGTTTCTCACAGTAAAGTTAATTAATCAATTGATTATATGATTTAAACGTAATTTATTCAATGTCAAATTTAGCAATGAACGTATTTAAATAAATAAACAATTATGACTACTAGCTTTCGTACAAAAGTACATAATCTCTTCCGAGAAAAGTTAAGGGCTTTGGGATTTCAGATGAGCTCTAGAGATGTGCGAGATTGAACCGCTAACTAGAATCTTCTTCTAATAGAAATGTTACTCTCTCTCAGAACCACAGTTCACATACGGAAACCGGACCCAGTTTCAAACATCAGCAACTTAGTAAGGGCTTTCGACACTGCGTTTTGGGGCGCCGTCGTGATGACTATAGCATTACTATCAACAAGTCTCTCACTGTCAATAGTTTGGTATCACGTGAGCATCCGCTTAGAGAAACATCTCTGTGATATTATTAGTGAGTCCTTTCTCCATATATCTGGAAGCTTCTTATGTCAAGGTAAAAACACTTTTATTTAAAATGTTATTTCAATCATTATAGACCAGACCAGCGTTTCTCAACCTATGACACGCGAACTAAGTAAGAAAATTAAAAGATAAAATTAACATAAACAAGTTTTTAACTCAACGCATTTGGTTAGTGGTACATTTAATGTGTTAGATTAGAATTAGTGGTACGCCAGCGAAAAGGGTGATAATTAGACCATCTTATAGTTACTAGGGGATCTACGGCGTATATCTTGGCCACTGAAAAGCTGTAATTACAGGTTCGAAACCCGCTTGAGTCATGGATGATAGTAGGCATTTTTCTGTATTATGGATTAGGTTCATCACCAAGCGAAACTCCCTCGCCACCGTCCAAAACGTTTTACCAAATGTGTATCATGGGCCTATATTTCTTCGAAAAATGACTGAATTCTTAAATACAGTGGATTCCGGTTAATTGGGACACATCGGAATAAGAACACTTTTACCCAATTAAGCTTCTGTCCTAATTAAGTGGTTCCACGTAAAGAATTAAAATAAGATTTGTCCCATATAAACGGCTTCCCGGATTAACCGTTGGCCCAATTAACCGGAATCTACTGTATTGTGTATATGAGCTTCGTCTTCAAAGGTTTACACACAAATCATTGCTTTCATTAGCTTTCATTACTCTGCCAAGACAAAAACTTTTTAAAATATACGGAAACAATAATAAATTTTATTACGTATTGCCATTCAATTACGAAAGTTGGTGGACTCTTCTTGAATCGAAGGTCGCCTTGTCATAAACATGGATTTCTCGTAATGCGTTCATGAAATGATGTTTTAATGGATTTAAGACGGTAAATAAAGTTTCATTGAAAGATTGTGATATTGTTATTTGGTAGTAGAAATTTATTTCAAAAATATTTGGTAATAAAGGATAAAAACATAACTTTAATACTGTTATTTTTACGATGAGGGCCCATTGTCCATTCCTAAATGGTACATGAGTGAATATGGAGCAGCGGTGGAATCATCTTCACAAGGTGAAACCGGAAATCTCGCACTTTGACCACCAGAAATCCCGAATTGCCTGCTCTGGACGTCATAAAAATTGCGTTGACATATTTTTTTTACAGAAACCCACCGCTCCAATGCGAGACTGTGTGGATTAATTACAATAATTTAATCATATGCCAGTCATTTTCTTCCTAGAAAAATTATCTCATAACCTATTTCCACTTATGAGATGATAATGTTGCGTCATATTGTGATGAATTATAATTGTTTAATTTTAACCGTCTAATCACAATAAAATATTTTATTAAATATTAAAATATTATGAGATGATAATGTTGCGTCATATTGTGATGAATTATAATTGTTTAATTTTAACCGTCTAATCACAATAAAATATTTTATTAAATATTAAAATATTATTACTACTATTTTATGTGATTTTAATAGTATTTACATAGAAATCTTTCTTACACATTAAAAGAGTCTAACGCACTTCTAAAATATGCACAATTTTGTTTTTTAAGTCTTTCCAAAATATCAACTGTTCCTGGAAGAATCACAAATAATCGATATGCTTTCCATCTTAGGATCGACAATAAATGTAAGGTCATCAGTAATCCGTGCAATTTCCGTGACGTCATACCTAACAGCGACGGTGGTAATGGCTGCCTATTCAGCTGCGTTCGTGTCTAACCTCACAATACAGAGCCTGCAGCTTCCGTTCACAACTTACGAAGGCCTTTTGAAGGATGGAAGATTCCGCTTACTCGCAGTCAGCGGGACGGCCCAACTAAACTACTTTGACGTTAGTAAACCTGCCTGCTGATAGTTGCCCAGACAGTCAAGATATTCCTTGATTTTCATAAACCCGAACATTAATTAAGGGACAGCCAAGAGAAATGCAGCGTAAAAAGTATAAATAAAATTGAAAATTTACGTAAATTAACATTTAGTCTGAAATGAGATGATAATGTTGCGTCATATTGTGATGATTATAATTGTTTAATTTTAACCGTCTAATCACAATAAAATATTTTATTAAATATTAAAATATTATTACTACAATTAACATTTAATATTTAAA